AATCAAAATAATCTTAAATACTTAACAAAATAAATAATATTAAAAAATACAAATAAAAATTTAATTTTTAAGTTAAATAAATCAACCCGCGGGATACCGCAAGGTAAAATCTGGTGATACTGAATACAGTTAGAACTGAGCAAACAAATCCCAATAGAGCCCACGTAAAAACTTCAACACAATACAAATATTTTTTTTCGTTCTCAATGACACAATTAAATTTTGAATACCTAATTGAACCAAATAAATTGTTAATCTCATATAAACAAAACTAGAATTCTAATGCAGCTAAATATATTTTATATACAATACAATATTCTCTCTTTCTTTATTACCAAGTCATGTTTTTCAACCAAATTAGATTAAAACAACATTTAATTCCTATAATAAAATAGTCCAATATGATATGGAATATAAATTTAAAATTTATTATCTATATTATTATTTAGTTCTACAAACAAAATATACAACCATCGTCAAATGAAATATACAACATGATATCCAAATAGTAATAAAAATAAAACATTACGATATATTCCCTTTTATACTATACTATTATATTATATTATTATTTAATTCTTCAAACAAAATATACAATTTGATTTATACAAAATATTAAATCCCGTGCTGTATAGCACGGGTCATGATCTAGTATCAATACATAATTTTCAATACATAATTGTTGTTAAAACCAATTAGACAGGTCACTGGTTTACAGAATCAGAATAGCAATCTGAAATTTTATCACCAACTAGATAAAAGTCCGCGCTACGCGGCGGAATATTTTTTTATAAATTAATTGTTTCAATATAAGTATGATTGAAAAAAAGGCTCTTAAGATTTGATATTTTGCAGTTGCTCATATTTTAGATGTTTTTACTTTACTGTTATTTATGTATGTAAACATTAATAAACATATATTATATATTACTTTTACAAAATAAATTGTTGATATAAACTCAGAGATAATTTGTTCATTTGTTGATATAAACTCCTATATAATAGTTCAAATTCATATTATTTTGTAAGAGACAAACTAAATTTGTTTTCTTATAAAAATCATATGAACTTCAATATAAATATTAATTTTAAAATATCTCAATGATAACTTCTATCTTTCTTCATTTTCTTATCTTTTTTTTTTTAATTTCACTCATAAATTTAAATTCTAGTGCTACATTTCATACTAATGGTTTATAGGATTTAATAAAATGATTTTTGTTTTAACTATAGTTATTTTTCCTATATTTCACTCTATTTAATATATAGCTAGGTTTCAGTCTCATTTTTTATTCTAACTAAATTTAATTTTCTTGAAAGATATGATTTCTTTTTTAAAAAAATTTTAAGGACCAAATTGTTTTTAACAAATTTCTTCTTGTTGTAGAAAAACCCTTAAACCTCAAATTTTAAATAAAATAAATATTATAACGATCTTTATATAATTATCTATTAGATCACAAAAACTAAATATAACGATACATATATTAAAAAGTTACAATTAACATATATTAAAAAGTTACAATTATAAAAAAAATTATAGGAGTTACATTAAAAATAAATTATAGGATTCACATTTTCCAAATTATTTTGTAAATAACAAATTAAATATATTTCCTATAAAATCATATGAAAAGCAATCAAAAGCTTTAAAAAAATCCCAAAGATTACTATCATTGTTTAATCTCTTTTTATATTCCTCTTAATTTAAGTTATATTGGTAGGTTTAATTCTAATGATTTCATATTTGTAGTACAAGCTAGATTGGAAATGGAATATTAATTTTTTTTTTTATATAGGAAACTTTTTACACTACAAAATTTGAATTAAATACAATTTTTAATGATTTTTATATAATAATATGTTGAATCAAAAAAACTAAATATAATGATAAGTATACTAAAAATATGTAGTACAATTTTTTTGGAGGTAACAGAGAGTTAAGGAAAATTAATTTGATAATTGTATTACAAAAACTTATTTCGTTAAAACATTGCATACTTTTAAAAATAAAATAAATATACATGAATATGTAAGAAATAATCAAACATCAAAAATAAAAAAATGGAGATAGTTTCTTTAGCTTGATTCCCTTATTTTGCGATGGTCAGAATTAATATTTTTGAATCTGCATCAATAAGGTAATTTTTGTCATAGTCATCAAAATTATATTATGCATATGTAATTTTAAATTAAAAAATATTATAAAAATGCAAAGAATGAAGGACGAAGTACATAGAAACAAAGAAGAAATAAAACTAAAAAGAATTTAAGATATATTTTAAACAAAACATATAATTAAACTCTTACAATGATATCTTAATTGAGTTTTCAACCCATGTAAAAACATAAACAAAACAAAGAGAATATTTAGGATTTGAGACATAGTGGAGGAGGATGTGAGAATGGTTATTTATAGGAAAATAAGTGATGGAAGTTACAATTCTAAACTAATTAGATTATAGGAGTTACAATTATAATTATAGTGTGTTTAAATGACAATGAATAGAGAAAGAAATAATCAATTCACAATTATGTAATTTCAGTTACAATTGAGTAGTAAAGTGTGTATTTAAAGTGTGGATTAATGTATATGATTAAATGTTTTATATTTTAAGTTTAATTAAAAATAAATATTATATTTTAAAAATAAAAATGCCAAGTGGACCAATCATGGGAGAGTGAAACCCTACTTTTATATGTATGATTTTTATTTGGAACAAAATAAATATATGAAATTCACCTAAAATCATCTTAATAATCTAAAATTCATTAAAACTCAAATTGATTTAAAATATATGATTGAATACACTGTTTTATTTAGTGATATCTTTTAAGATGGTGATGTTATATATATGTATAAATGTAAATGTTTAACAAATATATTTAAACTGAGCAATGAAAAAACAAATTGTACGTGACGTTCACATTATCAAAATTTAATAGTGTATTGCCATCGTGGCAGCAAATGTAAGATTTTGCATGAAATCATAACTTTAGTTATTATTTTTGAATTAATATTTTGTTCAAGTATGAATTAGCACGATGATATACTCTTTGATTATGTGTGTATTGTAATATCAAATTGTTTGTGTCTAACAGCACAGTGGGTCTCAAAGATGTTGTCCTTGAGAAATCCTTTGGCCTGTTGAAAGGAGTAACTGCAGAATATTGACATCGTGAATTGCGTAGTAGGCGAAGCATCAGTTTAGCTTTGGTCATTTGTGTCCAGGCACTAACGTGGAAGAGACTAGCAGAAATTCTCTCATTCTTAATCCCTCTTTGAGCACCACGAAAAATTGCCTCTGACAGAACTGCAACAAAAGCTTTCCTCAAAGCCTCCATGGACCATCACCAACACTGGTGGGATTGGGTCTCCATTTAGCAAACCAGTTTTCAAATAAAATAAAAAAATAAAAAAAATAAGTCTTTTCACCGACATCGACCTCGATAGAGATCCCCATTACCATTAAACTATTGTCGATTTTTTTAAAGAATTAAAAAGAAAAAAAAACAAAAAAAAAAGAATATTCTTCCACTAACCACCAAATCTTCTTCAGAAAAAAGAAGACAACAGAAAAAAGAAAACAACATTTGGTAGCTTGGGAAAAGATTTGTAAACCAAAGACGGAAGGTGGTCTCGAGATTAGGCTCTCTAAAGATATGAATAAAGCATTGATTTCGAAAGTGGGATGGAGAATAATGCAGGACCATACAAGCCTTTGGGCACGAGTCTTGCGCAGCAAGTATAAGGTTGGAGGGCTGCAGGATCGAACTTGGATAGAGGCGAAGAGACCGGGTTCATCTACTTGGAGGAGTGTGATCGGAGGCCTAAAAGAGGTGGTTACCCGCGGGAGTAGATGGGTTGTGGGAGATGGGAGTGAAGCCCCTTTTTGGACTGATAAGTGGCTATCAAATGAACCATTAATAGAGAACGTCACTACAGAGCTACCTACAGACCAGAATGAGCTGCGGGTGAAGGAGTTTTGGCGGGACGGCACGGGTTGGGCTTTTGACAGATCATGCCGTATATCTGACAGTACACCCGATTGCAATTGATGGTGGTAGTAATCGACAAAGTCACATGAGCTAGAGATAGACTGTCATGGGGGGGAAACTGGGGATGGCAACTTCACGGTGAAGTCTTCATATGCACTTTTGACAAGGAATAGCGACCCGAGACCAAACATGTCAAGTTTCTTTGATCGGGTGTGGCGGGTAGTAGCGCCGGAGAGGGTGAAGGCGTTTCTTTGGCTAGTTGGTCATCAAGCCATTATGACCAATGTAGAGAGGCATCGACGTCATCTCGGGGATACAAGTATTTGTCAAGTTTGCAAAGGAGGGAAGAAACAATTCTACATGTCTTGCGGGACTGTCCGTCCATTGCGGATATATATACATATATTTTTTTTTTTCCTTCATTGAAGTTTCATGCAACAAACTAGATTTCCAATGAAAATTTTATGCAAATTAACATCTGGATAAAGCTTCACACGTTCTGATTTTATGCTAACCAAAAAAAATTCAAAATTCGTGAACCCCTGATAATTTCTCTAGTCGTTGTACTGTTATCTTATTACAATCTCAGAATTTTACAAGACATGAACAAAAGAAATAATAATGAGAATTTTGCAATTTACACTCAGCTTCTTATTCTCCAATACCTTTCCTTCAGCTATTTTACTTAAAGAAATATTCCGCACACTAGTGGTAAGGAATCAAACCCTTCATACAGTCCGGCATTATTTGCCTCCAAACTAAGCCTCAATTTGAAACACACCATCGATCAAAGTACTGTAAGTGACCACATCACATCTCTCATCTTTTAATTCAAGAGCATATTCATCTACATGATATAGGTGTGACGATCCCGCAACATGTTAGTTTGCTTCATCAACTACACAATCTGAAATGCTTCCCCTTCAATGAACCTAGCTTACGAAAACCATACACAAAAATTATTGTAATAGAGGAATATAGAATGCTCACCAAATAGGGGAGCCAAACTCAAACTTCTATTCGATAGAAAAAAAGAAAAAAAAGATTCCGAAGCAAGATACAAATTTGTTGGTACAGGCAAAAATCTTATCCTACAGAGAGCTACAAAGACTTGACGATGTTTGTCTCAATACAGGCTGAATCCAAAGAACTGGCTGACAATAATTGCCAATCCAAGTCCAATGGCCACAAGAGAAGAAGCCCACGTTAGTTTCTCTGTGATCCTAGGAACCTTCTCTTTCAACGCTTCGCTACATGACCCGATAAACACTGTGTAGCTTCCCATTGCAATCACCGTCCCAATCAAGAACATGATGAGAAATGAAGCACCGGCTATCCGAGAAGGAAGAGCCAGTGCAGGCAATACCATCATCAGAGCATCTGGTTGCAGGCCGTGAACAATCCCAGTCGCAAATGTCGCAAACCCTATCTTTTTCTTCTTTGAGCTTTTCTCATCTGTTTCCCCATTCTCCAAGGTAACAACACATGGTTCCGGAATCTCAGAAGCTTCTTTGATTCCCATAGCACCAATCACAAGGAGAGTCAAGCCAACGACTCTTGTACCCCAAGTTCTTATAACTTCAATATGAAGCCTATCTTTTAGAAGCAGAAACAATAGACCAAAGATAAGTTGACCAGCATCATGACCACATCCCCAAAGAGCTCCAACTGCAGCACTCTCCATTCTCGTCCGCCCAATCGAAAGTGGAGCCAAAGCAGCAAGATGATCAGGTCCAGATAACGTGTGTAAGCAACCCGCAAAGAAACCAGTCCAAGCACTTGTCAGTACTTCAGTCCTGAGAAGTTTCCCACCAACAGCAGCTCCACCCGAATTAGTAGCCGTTTGAAAGCTAGCGAAAGCAGGCGGCGCAAGAATGGGATTAAGCAAAAGCGCAGCTACAGCAGAGACTAATATGACCATTCCAGCCGATATGGTCTACAAGAAAACACAAATTTGCACAGATCAGTGGATAATCTCAAGGTAAAGTACACAGAGATAAACACAACAATTCACTTGATCAAAACCCTAAACTACTACTAATGAATCCAATGGTTCTTGAAACAACTGAAACCTATAAACATTGATGCTCTTCTTCAATTCACGTTATCTTCTCCAAAAACCCCAAATCCAGTAACTAAAACCAAAATCGTCTAAGCCAAAGATTCAACAAACATTGATATAACCAATACACAGACGTAAATGGAGAAGATTCATAGTAGTGAATTACCTTGCGCTGCTCAAAACTGCTCACGATCCGTTGGATAAATCCTGGATTAGGTTTCGACACATCGGTTTCAGGAGAAGGAATCGAGAAATTACTACTCTGATTCAATCCTGGAGATGTATCCGGTGATGGATTCTGGCGGAAGAAGCAGGAAATGGAGCTGATTCGGCGTGACTCGAGACGGCGAGAGGAGGTAAAGCTAAGACTCGGCGAGTGGAGACGGGGGAGTAACGGAGATGGTCTTGATTGTGGTTTGGATGGAGCAATTGTGCGAGAAGACGGTGGTTGCAAAAGCCTATCCATGGCGGCGTCGACGACTTCTCTTTTGTCCGATAAGCTCGGAGTTTTGCTAAGAACTAAGGGAAGAGAGTGAGACTCTGCTCTCAATCGGTGAGGATAAATTTTTTCCAATAATGTATATTTTTTGTTGCTTCCTTATCAGTCAATAAAGTATAAATCAATTATAGGAAATAGAAATTAATTAAAGTAAACATTCTCGCCATTTTTCTCTTCTTTTTTTATTTTGTTTGAGAGAATGCGGTGAAAAACTGCTATGATCGGTGAAAAAAAAATTTCTCTTCTAAGGTGATTTTAAAGGCAATTTTTACCGATTCATAATCAACTCTTCACCGACTTTGGGGATGTTATTGGTTCCTAATTTACAAAATTTTTTGATGATTTTAATAAAATCATAGATTTCATTATTCGGTGTCTTTGTCGGCTCGCATGTGTTGTTTGATTCTACTATCTCTTGTTATCAATCGGTTATCATAGAGAAAGATCCTTTGTGAACGCTTCAAAATTTTAATCTCAGATCAGAAAAGAATCCTCTGAGGATATCTTTTGAGGCTCGTTGATCGCGTGAACTGGATAATCGACTTAGCCTGGTTGTTAAGGATCTCAATCCTCAATATTAACGCCCAGCCGAAATCAAAATTGCTCTGCCAAAAGCTTGGAGAATGGAAGGGCGAGTTACAAGTCGTATAAATGATGATGGTACTGTCCAATTCTTCTTTAAAGCTGAGCATCATTTGATGGCTGTTCTTGAAAATGGTCCTTGGCATCATAATTACTGGATGGTTGTAATCGATCGATGGACAAGGCGAAATCTATCGACTTACTTTACTAAGATTGCTTTCTAGGTTAAAATTCTGCATGCATATACCAGATGACTTCAGGTCTGAAAAGGTGATAAAGGAAGTAGGAGGAATTCTAGGTCATATTGATGACGTCAAAATTCATGAAGCCACGACTGAATTTGGGCTCATGTTAATATGAACATATCGGATGATTGATCTTTGTCAGGTACATCGAGTTTGAGCCTAGTAAGAAACCTGTCATGATCCGATTTATATTCTCCAAACTTAAGAAGTTCTGCTTTCGATGTGGGTCGTTGTTGCATGATGAATCAAATTATGATTTTTCTACCTCCAATTCCTCGAATTGAAGATCCATCTCAACAAGAAAATCAGAGAGAAGATGAAGTAGGGAGAGAGCACACAAATTCTTCAATTCCAGTCATTGGGTATATTAGACAAATGGACCCCCCTTCACGAGAGGTTGATGATATGTCTATAACTCTAGACTTTGTTCTTTTGGTTAGCAAGGAAATTGGAGGAACGTCTAGGGTTAATAAATATCGCAAAAAGAGCAATATCTTCTTAAATCCAGAAGATGAAATTTCTACAAACATGGTCCAAGAAGGTTCTCTAAAGACACAAGGTGATAAAAGTTAATTTTCATAGAGCAATGTTATTTTGGTGAAAAAACAAAAAAAAAAACATAACATGTTTAAATGGGTATACCAACCCATCCAACCATGATCTTAAGAGATTAATTTTTAATGAATTATGAGTTCAATATTGATATGTTAGTATAATACCATAGATTTGCATTGGATTCCAAACTTTTAGGAGCCTGCAAAATTTTCTTCTAAATTTTGATTCATATTTGGTTAGGTTTGAGTATTTTGATATATTTTTTTGGATATATATAAGTATGATGTTGTTGATATGTTAGTAGAATAATTCTAGATTTACGCTAAAGTCCAAAATTTGCGGGAACAATAAAATTTTCATCTCAATTTGATTCTCATTTTGGTTATATATCAGTATTCTGGGTGCATTGAGTTCGATCAATGGATTTCCCTAGATTTGTTCTAGGTTGTCTTAATTACCTGAAAAGAGAAAAAATATATATATCTATCTTCATCATCCTGATGGATTTAAGGGCAGTGATTTCAAAGGTTGAGGTAGTGATGGACAAATTCTTTATAAATTATTTAACATAAAATACATAATATGATTCATTTGGAAAATAAAATATAAAAACTTCAAAACTCAAAAGAAGTTGATTAACCACCTAAATGTTTAGTTTCACAAAGATACAGAAAATTATTATTTTTAAATCTAATTCACGTAGTTTTATTTTGTTTTCTAAAAAAAAATCACTTATATAAAGGAAAAAAAATATAAACATAGTATTATTCCGAAAGTTAAAAAAGCACAACATATACATAACTAAATATGGTATGATAAGTCTTTGTACATCGTACGCACTCTAAAATCTCGCACATCATGTACCACAAAAGTAATCTATATGTTTCTTTGATTTGGATAACATCAAAAAAAAAAAGGAGGAACTGCAGAATATATGCAAATGATCTGTAGCTGTAGGTGCCCGTCTCCAGCATCTTGCGTTCTTCCTCCTTTCTCTTAGATAGAAGGGTTGGGTACCAAATTTTGACAGAGGCCGAAATGGGTTATCAATAAAATCCACATACCTATGGGTCGTAAGGCACATCATCATCATCTCTATCGACACCTTCATGTATCCAGCAACGCCAAATTTCAAACCGTTGCTTGATTTCGCGCATCCAAACAAACTTCTCACTATTCTTCTCTTCTCCCACACCCGTAATATTAACGCTATGCATATTACAATATTTTGAAATGGTGGAAGTAGGTCCCCGGTAGATGTTCTGCAAAATCAACAAAGTCATAAATAAAAAAAAGAAAATTACACAAATATGTTTGTTTTTTATTTAAATTAAATTTACCTCTCCAATGCTTGAGTACTCTCGCTGGAAGAGAGGTATGGTAGCTGTAACAGGATGCTTCTTCAATACTTTAAGTGTATCTTCAATGCTCTCCAATTTCACCACATCGTCGATCTACGCTAGGTACAGTGAACTTCTTGGCTCAAAACTTTTTTTGCAGAAGGTATTATTATTAAAGGAACGTGTTGATTCCGTTTCTATTCTGTTAGCTTTGACATACATCAACCCCTCAAGAATATGACAAGCGTAATAAGAATGACTGGTTTTGTTCTCTCTAGAATGTGAATCTACTTTAGTGAAATCAACAAGATATTGATTCTAATATGTTGCAACCCAATCCTTTTCCAGATCTGCGTGATATGTTTGACGGTCTGATTGGAAGACTTAGAACTATAAACCCAAATTATAGATTTTTGTCTCGGAAGAATTTGGTGTCTAGAGATTTAAGTATGTTTACTACTTTACAAATTGATGTTCTTGATGAACACGGTTTCAAGAAATACAATAGTGTTGACAGAAAGAAACTCTGCAGTTATTGTACAATTTAAATAAACACCTAATCGCCGCCTAAGCTAATTTTTTGAACATCGGGTTTTTGCAAGTTTTGAACTTGTTTGCAGATGTGATATTGATATAAGTTTGTTTTTTTGTAGAATAATTTTATTATAACTAGGAATCAAACCCCCTGCGATGTCGCTGGAAAAAATAATATAAATTTGTTTATATAATAATTTTCTTTAAAACAAATCAAACTCAAAATGATGTATATTATAAAATTTTAGTAGTTATTTAAATATATATATATATATATATATATATATTTAAAGAAATAAATGTTTACACATGCAAACATGTTTGTAACAAAACATAAATATTAGAACGAAAAGTTTTGATAAAAAAACATGAATACAACATACATGGTGAAAAGACAAAAATCTAAATGAATTGATGCAATTTTCTAAGAAAACACAACTGTAAGACGTAAGCTGTAAGCTTGAAGTGGACTTAACCTTTGTTTTTTAAATTATTATAAATATATATTTTACGAAAGATTACGATAAAAGAACACAATGGTAAGAATATATTCATTAAGATTATCTTTCAGTTTTGAGCAATCAATCATCTCTTTAAAAAAGAAGTTACCATTTTTAAATGATTGTAGAAATGAAAAAATTTGGTAAATAAAATATATAGAGTTCAAAAGATATGAACATTTAAATTGACACAACTATTTGTAGAACTTTTACCAAGAAAAATTGTGATAAAAAATACGAATAAAATATGGTGAAAACTGAAAAGACACAATTCTAAATGACTAGAAACATCTTTGTAAAAAGATATAAATGTCAAAGATATTTTTTAATTAATAAACTTAAATATTTAGTGAAGAGTTACAATAAAAAAATGCAACCATATTAAGCATTTATTCAAACTAAAGATAATATGAAAATATTTTACGATGCGATGAAAAAATACAACCGAAACAAAACCGTAAATATTTTAATGAAAAGTTACGATAAAAGGACACAACCGTACAAAAATAACCGTAAATATTTCAATGAAGAGATGCGATAAAAAGACACAACCGAAAAAAAGACTCAAAAAAACCGTAAATATTTTAACGAAAAGTTACGATAAAAAGACACAACTGTTCAAAAGTGCATGCGATAAAAAGACACAACTATAAAAAAAATAACTGTAAATATTTTAACGAAAAGATGTCATTAGAAGATACAACCGTTAAAAATAACCGTAAAGTTTTTAAAAAAAAATTGCGATAAAAAAACGCAACCGTTCAGAGGTGCAGAATGCATTTATTGAGATTGTTATTATATATTTTGATAAAAGAATTATAAATTAATATTACAAAAAAAAAAAAAGAATCATCAATAATTTGTGTATTTGTAATTTGTATGATCATTTTCCATCTTTGGTCATCTCTCTCTCTCCAAAGTTACGTCTTTGTTCCTCTCAAGTCTCTCGTTTATTTTTATTTTTATTAAACTCTCAGATTTTTATCAATTCCAATCCAATTTTATTTTGCACTTTCGAAAATCTATATTTCAATCTAATTGCGAATTTCGTGAATTTCGTCTCTTTGATCAAGAAGACTCCAATTGCTCCACCCAAATCAAAATCACAGTACCAAACAAAAATCACAGTAAGTCTCTCAGAGAAATCCAAATTTTGCTTAGGAAAGTTTCATATTTCTTCAATTGCAGTAAGAATGTGAAGCGTATAACCATTGATCCGTATCAGCTTTTTGTTCTTGATTTCAAAGTTAGGGTTTTTTTTTTTTCGTTTTCCATCGATTCTTATGGAATTTAAGTCAATGGTCATGTGCTCCTCTCAAATTGATTAATCATGCGAGTGATCATTAGCTTCAAATTGGTATAGTTGGATGTTATGTTGAACAATCTCGTAATGCGGTTTATAGCTAAGATTTAAAAGATTTTTAGCTTTGCAAATTGTTCAAAATTAGGATCTCATATGTATAATTTAGTATTTAAGAAATTATAAGCTAAGATTGAGAGTTAATAGATATGTTTGCTTTTCTTGATCACAGATTGTTTTCTTCAAGAATCACCAAAAACCTGTTTCATCAAGCATGTCGGCGAACAATGACGGTAAGGCTTCACCACCATTGTTCTTATTTTGTCAATGATATCATCCGTTTTGTCGCTGATTCTTGTTAGTCATATAGTGACAGGTAAAGTCATTGTGCTTATGGGCGTAAGCGGCGCAGGGAAATCGTAAGTTGTTCTTTATTCCTCTTTTGATTTGTACTAGATATTGATGTTTATTGTGTTGTTTCACTTTGTTAGTACCATAGGTAAAATGTTGGGGAAAGCTCTATCTTGTGATTTTCTTGATGCCGATGATTTTCATTCTTTATCGAACAGAGGTAACAGAATCAATATACTTTGACGAATTCGTTGGGAATAATTCATGTGTTAACACTTGCTTGATGCTCATTGTTCAACTAGATAAGATGCGTCAAGGCATTGCTCTTTCAGACGAAGACCGAATGCCATGGCTTGAAAAAATACAAGAGAGTTTGCGAAAACGTTTACTCAATGGAGAGACCGTTGTTCTCGCATGTTCTTCATTGAGAAAACAGTATAGAGAAATCTTGAGAGGCTCTGATCCTGATTACAAACAGGGAAGCTATACGAGTTGCAAGGTTAAGTTTGTATTATTGGAAGGTAATCCTGAGGTGATTGCTGCTCGGTTACAGAAGAGAGCTTCCGAAGGAGAACATTTCATGCCTCTTACTCTTCTTCAGTCTCAGTTTGATCTGCTTCAAGCTGATGAATGCGAAAAGATATTCAAAATCAGTGTGGTTCTAAGCCCTGAAGTTATAGTCAATACAATTCTTGAAATGCTAGGAAATTCTTTGAGAGAAGGTATATGAAATTCTCAGCACATTTGTATTATTACTATTCATCTTTGTATTCAACATATACAAATAAGCAAAAACTTACTTCCTGAGTATACAAGTTTAGATGTACAATGTTTCATCATCTTCTCCATTTTCTTTCTTCTACAATTTGATTTTAACATACAGTTGGTACTTGGTTTAGCTAATTAATTTTCTGAACGAAAAAAAAAGTTTGAGCAAGTAATTTAAGAAATGGGCTTTACAGGCCCATAAACTCAAAACCAGCATCCACGTCACATGCATGCTGTTTTCGTGACAGTAAAACGGCAAAGAGTTTAATTGTGAAAAAGCAAAACAGCATCACAACTAGTATCTGCATTCACCGCCGAGGTTTTGTAGCCCTTGATCAGCTCTGTGTATTTTTGGCGGGAAAATTGACCAGAAAACCCTCGACGACAGAGATCAGCGAAAGAGAGAGAGAGAAGTAGATTGAGAGGCGAGAGAGATAATGGCAGATGAAGGTAAGGAGGAGACGGGAATGGATCAAGTGGAGGAAGATTTCTCTGTGTGGAAGAAGAACACACCATTTCTCTACGATCTCTTAATCTCTCACCCACTCGAATGGCCTTCTCTCACAGTCCATTGGGTTCCATCGACGCCGAGTCCTTACGCGGCGGACCCTTACTTCGGTGTACATAAGCTTATACTCGGGACTCATACTTCCGGTAGTGCTCAAGATTTCCTCATGGTCGCCGACGTCGTTACCCCGACACCAAACTCAGAACCTGGGTTAGGCGGCACAAATCAGGATCCTATCATTCCTAAGGTATTTGATCCCTGGAGATTCTTTTTTTTTTGACGATATTTGTTGCTCATGTTTTACGCGCACCAAGTGTTCGACAAAATGACTAGCTGAAAGTGTTAGAATCTTGTTGCTGCCTTCGGGAAATGAATTGATAAGAATAAGATTAGTGAGTCTTAGATATGAAATGTTGGCTCTTTTATTGGTTTAGGATTTTGAGTTTTTGTATACTACTAAACCATGTTTCTTCAATTTCCTGATTTGTTTCAGGTGGAGATTAGACAGAAAATACGTGTTGATGGAGAAGTGAATAGAGCGCGGTGCATGCCTCAAAAGCCGACGCTTGTGGGTGCAAAGACAAGTGGTTGTGAAGTGTTTCTGTTTGATTACGCTGAACATGCTGCAAAGCCACAAACGAGTGAGTGTGATCCTGATCTGAGGCTATTGGGACATGACAAAGAAGGGTATGGATTGTCTTGGAGTCCTTTCAAGGAGGGTTATCTTTTGAGTGGTTCACAGGATCAGAAGATCTGTCTTTGGGATGTTTCAGCTACACCGCAAGATAAGATTTTGAAAGCAATGTTTGTGTATGAGGTAAGTGGAACAATACAGTTGGTATCTTTCTTCTGTTTTCAGAAAATGTGGTTTGATACATCTGATTTTACTCTTTTAATTTTGTTTTAGGGACATGAAAGTGCTATCGCAGATGTATCATGGCACATGAAGAACGAGAACCTTTTTGGGTCTGCGGGTGAGGATGGCCGATTGGTGATATGGGACACACGGACAAACCAAATGCAACACCAAGTGAAAGTTCACGAGAGAGAGGTAGAAAACCACCATCTTAATATCTCTGCTTGTTTGAAATAATGTTTACTTAAATGACTTGGGTCTGATGTCGCAAGCTCATCTATCCTGTAGTTACACAATCTCCCAATCAAATATTCCAACTGTATGACTATGCTTTCTTCTGTTTTTCAGGTCAACTATCTATCTTTCAATCCGTTTAACGAATGGGTATTGGCCACTGCTTCCTCAGACTCCACTGTTGCCTTGTTTGACCTCCGAAAGCTTAATGCGCCATTACATGTCATGAGCAGCCATGAGTACGTTTCCTTTACATTTTCTCATTGCCTCTGCGCCATCTATAAATTGTGTTAGAACTAAATGTTGATACCTGTGGACTGAGTAACTGTAAAGGACTGAGTAACTGTAAAATCCACCTTTTAAATGAAATATTCTGATTACAGGGGAGAGGTTTTCCAAGTGGAGTGGGATCCTAACCATGAAACAGTACTCGCATCTTCAGGGGAGGACAGAAGGCTGATGGTCTGGGACCTGAACAGGTATATATCATCATCTACTTTGCAGAACTTAAAAACTTCAACTCTTAAATCTGAAGATTGTTTAACTTTTTTGGGGTTTACAGGGTTGGAGAAGAGCAGGTTGAGATAGAGTTGGATGCAGAAGATGGTCCACCAGAGTTACTCTTCTCTCACGGAGGCCACAAGGCTAAGATATCAGACTTTGCTTGGAACAAAAACGAGCCTTGGGTCATCGCAAGTGTAGCCGAAGACAACAGTCTTCAGGTGTGGCAGATGGCGGAAAGCATCTATCGCGATGAAGATGATGCTGAGGACATCAAAGAAGATATTACACAACAGTCATGAAAATTAAGAAATGATTTGGTCTCCTCACTACTTAAGTCATATCATGCTTTAGCCAGCTTTGAAAAGACAAGCTTTGCGTCTGTAGTAGGACTAACATGAATCAGTTCTGTTTGTTAATGTAACCATGTTTGGATTTTGTTGGTTTACTATAATTCCCGTCTCACAAAATCGAAGTTTAGTCACAAAATTCCACTCTAGATCTCTAAAGCCAGACAAAAGATTTATTGAATAAGGAATCATTGGCAGTAATCAGTATATAGTCATCCAGTCAAAACTCAAAACTGAGCGTGCAACTCTTACGTTGATATGATCTGCAACAATATTCAGGAATCGCTCGTGTCTTTGTTCTTTTACGCATAGTACTGCCCATAGATCTCACTCCCATAGAGCATCAAGGAAAATCTAATACCAAAATGAGAATTGATGCAACATATAAGTGACTTCAGAAGCAAGAGACTCTACCAGACTAAAGAATAGTCAAAAACAACCAAGTCACTAATCGTCGAGATGGGTTCCCAAAACTTATTTTTCCAGATGCAACATTCAACCTCTTCTACAATAACTTGAAAAAAAAAGAAGCTACTAAAGTACAAAACCAAATGGCAAACTCGATTTGAATATTAACAAGAGTTCAACAAGGAAATGCAATTACATAAGGAATAACAAAGAGATTAAAAATGATAATAGCACAAATGGTCTTAAAGGAAGCTGGTAATGCAGTTGAACTCTACTACTTATTGGAAGAAAATTAACTACCAATTTGAAAATGATTGATAGTATCACTATCACATTATCGATGATACTTCAAACTGCTTTCCCTGCACGAGGTCCACCTGTTGCAATAGCAAAAACCATGAGTTCATAAACTAAATATACGCAAACCACAAGTTTAAACAAAAACGTTGAAGGAGCCTCAGAAACAACACAATTTCGGGAAAAGTAAAGTGACGATATGGAAGTAACTACGAAGAAAACCGTACAAAGATATAGTTGTAATGGGCAACCTCTAGGAAAGAGATCCAAAGGAACTAGAACTTCACCTTTTCTCTTATTACCGCCGGATCCATTGACAGTGAATGTTCCAATTCCATTACTACAGACAGGGATCTCCTTGCCAGCTAAATTCTGATTAGCCAAGCACTCTAGCTGATCAAACTCACAACCATTTAGCCCTTGATCATTCATCGATGCACCTTCTCCGTTATTCCCATTTTGAAGACAGTACAAGTTGTCAACATCACATTGCATATTGCAAGGATGCATCATGTATGAGTAAGGCACGTTTGTAACCGCATGCTTCTGATAAGGAAATGCACCAATCTCTCCATCAATTCTTCCTCTTATATCAACAAGCAAACACTTGAGCCTTGTAACCTCAGCTTCCAATGCAGCTTGACCTTGCAACCTCTTCAACAACTGATTATTAACCGCCTTAAGCCTCATAACCTCGTCCTCCAACGAAGCCGCTTTAGCCTTCTTCTTCTCCCTATACTTTCTAACCGCTTCTCTATTCCCCAAAGGTCTCTTCTTCCCTGAAGATTCCGATGTATCATCGGTAGAAACTTTATCCTCGCTCTGTGAAGGAAGAATCTTGGTGTGCACATGAAGACATGTGTGAGTATGTGTGTTCTCTGGTCCCGGAGGATTACAAGTATGAGTATGAGTACAAGCATGAGAATCCCTCAAAAGCTCATCGAAGAACGAATCCATAGAACAACTACTAGGTGGTAACTCAACACCCATGTTCGAATTCGAAAACTCAAGCTCACCGTCGTCCATTACTAAAAACCCAGTAGCAAAGAAGTAACCTTTGACTCTTTTGATTGAATCTTAACCAAAAAGTATGAGACTTTGTGCTCAAAAACCAAACAATAACCTAATTGCAGAGTGAAAACAGAATTCAAGAGATTCAGAAGATTGAATTATCAATATCTAATCATTGGGTGATACTCAATTGGGAGAAACATCGTACCTTTAAAACAAGTGAAGGATTAGCAAGACGAAAACTTTACGAAACTTATGAACAAAACGGCGAGAACTAGAAATGGGAACCCTAAAAATGAAACATTGATGATTGAAGATTAACAGATGGCATCATTTCCATGGCGGAAAGACATGGACGTACCAAAAGGGATTTCGAATTGCAGAAGATTCTTTTTTTTTTTTTCCTAATTAATTTCGTATTAAAATTTTGATTTGGATTTATAGCTCAACTAGATCTTGACCCGCACATAAGTGCGAGATTTCATATTTTAAGAAATGTGTTGTAATAAATTTTTACTAAATATATGATTATTTTGTTGTTTTAGTGATATATATTGTATTGAATAAATTATAATATACACAGAAAAGTATAAAATGTTATTTATGTTTGCTTATGACACAATAGCAACCATAAGTCATTTTTTGGAGTTTGAAACTGAAGAGTAGATTAGAAAAAAATCTTAGATTGAAATATAATATAAGTTAGATTGATGTAAAAAAGTATTATATAGTTATAGTATCTATAACCTAAACTCATATCAGTTGGTTGAAATATTTGAAATAATAATAATTTTAATAGTATTTTAAAATTCGTAACAATCAAACGGTCGGACCAAGATCAAACATTGATAATATCGAATTAATGGTCAGGTAGATTTTTATTAAACTTGTGAACATAAAACCGTTAACTATCAAACCGTAGATAAAACCGTTAAAATGATTAAATACGTTTGCGAGAAATAGAAATATTTAGAGATAGGCGTAATTCCCATTCAATTTTATCATGTTCCATTATATCTTACCCGTTCTCCAATTTATATCTCATAAGAGAATGCATTTCTAATATAAGACAAATTTTGTATTCCCGATTAGAAATAGGACGTGACGGAAACAAAAATTCTCGATATCTTGTTTGGGACAAACACCAATATAATTCATTGTATATTTTATATGATGATATAATAAAAATATTACAAAATTAATTGACTTCTTTGTTCTTATTTTTTTATATTTTGTTCATAAATATTAAATTACATTTGTTTGTTTTTTAAATTTTAACTATTATAGAACATACTATAATAACATTTATTATTTTGAACATTTTTATGCTATAAAAATTGAAAACACATGTTACATATTTGATTGCAAACGTTAATTTGTTTGAATTGTAACTTGTTCTAGTCTAAAATCTATGTTTTTATCCCGTCCTGTCTCCTTCCATGTCGTTCCTGTTTCGTAATTCCTATTCTCGTTATATTACATTAAATATCATTTTCCGAGTTCATTTTTGCTTATCTTTAAACATCATACAATATACGGTTTTAAGTTTTGGGGATTAACATATGTTCTGTTAAAATTTGTAAACATACCGTAAATTAAAACATGAGAACAAATTGAAAAAATAAATGATCTATCAACTAATCTTAACAAAATCATAAAACTAAGAGATAGTTTAATGTGAATAAATTTTGAGAATCATTTTGAATTAATTGTAAAAACTGTGTAAATTAAAAAGTAGCTTGTAATTAGTTAAATTAGTCATCTTGATTTAAATTCAATAGTTCCTTATATTTAATATTTCTCATTTTGAAATATTTTCATTAAAAATTAAAACATTTGTATTTAAATTTATTTTAATGTTATTTGAAAAAGAAATAATCAATTCTAGAAGAATGTGTATTCCAAAATCTTGTAACAATTTGATACAAAATAATATAATTTATTTGATTTGAAATTGAATAATTTAATTGGAGATATAGTAACTATTATAGTACGTTTTAAAATATATTAAAAATTTAGGTTAGTTATATATATTTAAAATAATGAAAACTACCCATTTTTAAAAAAAATATATTCTAAAATTTTATATCATTTAAACTATAATTAAATGTTAAATATTTTAATCTATCTTGGAAATATTTTCTAGATATTTACAAATTTAGAATCCAAAAAATTAGTTTTTGAATAAGCTGTATTTTAAAGGATGAAAGTATTTTTTTTAGATTATATACGACATAATAAATGTTTTTTCATATTTGGAAAATCAAAATTGAAAAATCTTTTTTCCATGTGTACCAATCAGAATTAATTAGCATAGTATTGTTAAGGAAATTTTTAAAAATCTAAACGAAATGATAATTTGTTATTAAGATTAGATTGCCATATTCGAAAATATCTAATATTATCTTACGAAAATAATTTAGTTTACATATATGCAATTTCGAATTAAATATACACAATTACCCGTTTCAGTTTATTAATTTTCCTTCTTCAAATTTAAAAATATCAATGGCATTCTTTGTAATTATTTACCTTTTATAAGGTTATATTTTATCCAATGCTTCCCAATTAATAATATAAATCTACACTATTAATATCATAAACTTTTATAGATTGGTAACATCGTTGATAAATAATTCTCGTTGCAAAATTGATAATATCGTTGATAAATATTTATAATTTTAGTATTTACCAACCTGCAAATATTTAATTTTATTTAAAAACATATTATTTCTATTATTAATTTAGTTTAGTTGCTAATAATTTAGTTTAGATTTATTGTTAAAATATTTTGTATTTTTCAATTAATGACATTTGATTTATGTTGAATTTTTTTGTTTTATCTCTAACAAATTGAAAAATACAAAATATTTCGATTTATATTCGAAATAAATACATTGATGCTGAATATTCACTTATTATTTAATATTTAATGTTGTTTCCTTTTTTTTTTTTGTAGACAAATCATACCAAAAATATTGACGAAGCAAATCTCGGAATATATTGGATTATTTAATCTCGTTATTTGTTTTTGCAAAAAATTAATGAAGGATTCGAATCAAATATATTTATTTAGTTGTAGTAGTTGTTTATTTACTAAATTACCCATGTAAAAATTCATTTAGTTAGTCTTAAACTACCCTCACAATGTTGTAGTTCACAAAATGCTTCCCAATTAATAATATAGATTATTTAAACCTCTTCAGTCACTGCAAAATAGTTTTTCTTTAGTTTTAAAATTTGTTTTGCAATGCTATTTATATTTTATACCCAATAAAAATAAAAAGTTAAGTTGAATAATTATAATCTAATTGAAAATTTTCGATATATGTAATCAGGTAGATAAATATTTATCTTCAAAAATAGTCAATGATAACACTGTAGAGAAATGATATTTATTTGCATGTGAATTATTTAAACAATGAGATGATTAATTTCATGTAAAATGACGTTTTATTGAATGAAATAATATGATATTTTTTATATACGTGATACATGAACCATTGATAGAATTTGATTATTAGTGCAAATATTGATTTTAAGAATAAAGTTTGGGATAAAATCATACAATCATTAGTTTGAAGATTTGATTTCGTATTTTATAAACTAGTAAGACTAATGTATTATTTTTTATTTTTTCTTGTCGGACGTTGCAACACCATCATATTATATAAAAAAAAAAACAATTTTTGATAACGTCCATCTACCATCTACAACAATTTATGTAAAATCATAGTGAAAATCAACATAAAACATGCTGGAACTTTCAAAAAAGTTACTATTGCAAAAGATCTCAGTCTTTAGAAATCGAACATGAAATTTGATGCAGAAAACGGAGAGATATAACTAATTTAATTTTTGGTGGAAGTCTTCTAACAATTATTGAGTCACAGACAATAAATTGATATTTGTAATTAGAATGATGCCAAGATCTTCTAATGAATGATTATCTAATAATTTAACAGAAATTCGACACTAAAAAAGTTTTACATCAGATCTCAATAGAATCATATAGAGATCATTAGCACACAATTTAAGAAGAGATTTATAACTAAGACTTGTCTCTAAAACACAGCTTCTACGAGTACGTGTTTCTTTTTAGACCCAAATCCAACAATGTGGTTTAGATAAACTCTTCCTTCCTTCACTGTAGCCGACGAGACTAACCGATGAACCATACCGCTACTGAACCAACCCGTCACAGAAGCGGTTCTCCACCCGTCTGAACTCTCTACCAGTTTCGAAGACGAGCTACCTGAAAACACTTACATTCATTGGTATAAGCTTAAAAATCATAACTTTACTAAAGATGTTAAACATTACCTGCAACAACAATTTTGGTTGGAGACAACAACTCAAGCCCATCTCCAAACCTCAATGTACCACCAGAAACATCAATTACAGTAACTTGATTACTAACATCCCCATTGGTTAAGTCAATTTTGTATAAGTAACCAGAGAAAGTATGGATAACGATAAGGAAGCCGTCGGGGTGATAAACAATGCCGTTTAGAGTAACAAGGTTATTGTACCATCCAGGTGGAGTAAAGAGAGGACTTGTAATAGTGTTCACAAGCTTCCCATTAACATCAACTTTCCAAATTTTACTAACTTTTGCATCAGTCACATAAGCATTGCCTTGTTCATCAACAGCTACATCGTCTGCAAACGTTTTCTCTTTACCTACATTGATCATATGATTCATATAGTGTTAGTCTAATATCCAATTGTTTCACAAAAACCTATTCAATTGAACATTTTTTTGTTTTATTACTAATACCGAACCCACAATGCATTACGTATAATGGTGGTATCAAAGTAAAAACTAATCTACAATGGATTGTTTGGTACGGTTTTGGTTTCGGTTCGGTTTCGTGTTTTAGTCAATTATATCCTTAATTTTCAAAAAAGCTTCGGTTTCAGACGGGTTTTTTCCTTGTTTTGGTTCGGTTTGGATTCCGATTTGGTACCACAATAAAACCCGTCTAAAACCTAGTCTACAATGGATTGTTTGGTACAGTTTTGGTTTCGGTTCGGTTTCATGTTTTAGTCAATTATATCCTTAATTTTCAAAAAAAAAACTTCGGTTTTAGATAGGTTTTTTTTCCTTGTTTTGGTTCGGTTTGAATTCCGATTTGGTACAAAAAAAAACCCGTCTAAAACCTAATGTACAATGGATTGTTTGGTACGGTTTTGGCTGTTCGGTTTCGCGTTTTTGTCAATTATATCCTTAAATTTTTAAAAACTGCGGTTTTAAACGGTTTTTTTCTTTTTTTGGTTCGGTTTGGATTCAGATTTGGTTTCTTAAATAAGAAAAAAATAAAGGAATTAAATCCATTTAACCATATAAGATATATTTCGGTTTTCGGATTGAGAATTTTGGTTCCGTTTGGTTTGAATCCGAAAATGTTTTAGCAAATTTTTTTATATATAGAAAATCACTAACGGAGAGATGATGAAATCGGACGGTTAAGAATCTTACTATGACCACTAAGCTCGGCGAGGAAGAGACGACGCCACGTGGACAAATCATAGGCTGCTAAAGCACTATACCGGTTTCCAAGCAAGTCGGCGACGGCTACGAGGAGACGGTTCCTAACACGGTCGATAACGATTCCTAGGGAAGCGTTACCGGCGAGGTCAACATCTTTGACCAAAGTGACTTCCTCTAAAACGTCGTCGGAATCTTTAGGAACAATCTCGCCGACTCCGCCACCGTCCATGAAGGAGACGAGGAATCTCCGACCAACATTGTCCCATTTGGCGCATTCGCGGAAGAAGCCAGAGCTTTGGTAAGAGAAGACGTGTGTAGAAGGAACGGCTAGCTCTAAGGAGATGAGGTAAGCTATGGGAACGGCGGAGATTACGAGGAAGAGAGCGGCGGAGCATCGGCCGGAGCAAAACGACGGGGACATTTTTTTTGAAATAAGAGAAAAAACGGGTAGAGAGAAATAAATTGGGTACGACGAAGACCAACTTATGGAAAAAAAGTTGGTGAGCGAACGTTAAACATTTGGTGATGCGCACGTAGTGAAAACTAGTATTTGGTGGCCCGTTAAATGTATTATTGGGCCCAGAAAGTGTACTTTAATAACCACTTTAACATATAGTAGTGGGAGCTTTAAATTCAAATTCACGTTTTTGTTTGTTTGCATGTTTTGTTCAATTGTTCCAACTTTTAGCTTTCAATTTCTATAAAATGCTTAAGGGTTTCGTTTTCTAAAAGTAATATTTTTCCTTCCAGGTTCACCATTAATCCATTATCAATTTATCATACACATTCTATGTCAAGACATTGCTGTTAATGATATACTTCATGTCTCTCATTCTATTAGATGTTTTGTCTAAAAGCACAATTATTAAGAAATAATAATTGTTTTCTTATTTATAAAAAAAATTCAACCAATAAGAAGATACGACATAACTAAAATAATTTAAACTAATATAAATAATGCATAGAAATTAGAGAAAATCTTGTAAAATAGAACAAATGAAAATGCCTAAAACATCCTATATATTGGGATAGAGGGAATAATATAGTAAAAAAAAATTAACAAATAAAATATCCATTGCATAGTTAAGATTTTACCTCAAGTTATTTTTTTTTTAAGATGCATTTTCAAATATTGTTTTTGAATGATAGAGCTACAGTAAACCTCTATAAATTAATACTCTATAAATTAATAACCTCTCTAAATTAATAAATTCTTCCGGTCCCGAGTTGAGACCATATGACATAAATCGATAAATTAATAAGATAATAATTTTTTTGAAAATCCCATATAAACATATGGTCCCATCTATATCATAAATTAATAATTGTATAAATGTATCAATATATATATATATATATATGTATAATTAACTTATCAACATATGATAGAAATTTATATATGTCATATATGAATTACTATGATATATATTTAAAATATTATATGTAAAAAATATGACTCTATTATTCAAAAAAAGTTTGTGTTGTTTTTCTAAACTTAATAATTGCTCCTCTACTTAATTAGTTTATAAAAGATATTGATTATTAAAAAAAAATTATTTTTAGATATAATTTTTTTAAGAAATTACAAAATTAGTAAAATCTCTCTATAAAATAATAATTATTAATTTATCGATAAATTAATACCTCTCTAAATTAATAAAATTTCTTGGTCCCAACATTATTAATTTATAGAGGTTTTACTGTATTTGGCCGACTAATAAAAAAAGGTCGTACTTTAGTGACAAAGTTTTACCCTATAGATATCAATCGGCGTCGTTTAACATTCATGATGGCATGATGCTTTGCTATATGACTATATCTCTTACCGAGTCCGAGAGAATATATAATAAGAAAAGTAACTTGCCTTATTATTCTCAAAACAGAATCGTCAAAAACCCTAGAGAGACGATCAGTTCGAAGTAAGGTAATTAATATATTATCAAGGTATAGTTGAAACCCGATATTAAATTCAGTTCAGCATGATTGTGTCATGTGCAAGTTAATTTTTGTGTGTTTTAGGGTTTGAGTAATAATGGATTCTCAAGATACAATCAGCCGTCTACCAGATGATCTTCTAGGACACATCTTATCATCCCTCTCCACAAAACAAGCAGCTTCAACGTCAGTGCTCTCGAAGAGATGGAGGTTTGTGTTTGCTTTTGTTTACAATCTCGATCTCTATGACCGTGAATCTATACGTGAGGCTAGACAAGACTGGCGTGAAAATTCGAAGAGATTCACTGCTTTCGTTTCAAACTTGCTTATTCTCCAAGGCTGTTTGTCTATAAAGAAGTTCACTTTAAAGAGTCATGTTAGTGTTCGAGATGGTCTTGACCCAGCTCATGTTCAGAGCTGGATATGTAATGTGCTTGAACGTGGTGTTGTCGATCTTGATATTTTCATCACTTTCCTAGGAAAAATTCAACCAGAGTTTACGTTGAACTTGATGAGCGAGACATTGGTTAAGCTGAGACTAGGACGTTGGTTTATAATCAAACTTTCTCAGGATGTTTCTCTTCCTATGCTTAGGAAATTATCTCTTTACTCAGTTGATTTTGATGGAGATAGTAATTTCGTTGGAAAACTTCTATCTCGTTGCTATGTTCTTGAAGAATTTGATTTTGAGGAATCTGAGAAGCACGGTCCGGTACAAATACAATGGTCGTCCCCATCTCTAAAGAGACTACGCATCCGATTTAATTATGCCCGGGAGTTTTCATTTGATTTTCCCAATCTTTCCTTCTTTGAGATTTTGTATGAACTTGGGAGCAAGTTTCTAAATGTTAAGATGGATTCCCTCGTTGAAGCTAGACTCAATCATCGGTTGCACTATGGGGAAATATGGGTAACAACATATAGAAATGCTGGTTTATTTCATGTTGATATGATACATCTCATTAATGCAATCAGTAACGTTAGAGTCCTTCACTTATCTAGTGTTGTACATGAGGTCAGTTGCGGCTATGTACTTCCTTTTTCGTTCTTTTCACATTTTGTCTTCTCAATAAAAAGAAAAGAAAATATTGTGTGTTTTGCAGCTGCTTTACTTCTCCCGTCAAGAATTACCGATGTTCGATAGCCTAGTTTGTCTATCTATCGAGAGTGAAAGGAAGCGAGGATGGGGAATATTGCCACTTCTGATAAAAAACAATCCAAATCTAGAAACTATCATCTTCAAGGTATCTTATGACATGCACAAAATCATCCTAAACGCCATAAATACCGATATGTCTATTGTATCTTAGATTCTTGCTCTCCTCTATGCTTCAGGGTCTAAAGCACCGGCTTACAAGCAGAACTTGTGGGGATGTATGTGGTTGCATTAACTCTGTTTTTCATAGATCGTCTTGCCTATCAACATCTCGAGTGAAAGTGCTGGAGATATCAGGTTACCGAGGAGATAGTATAGAAGATCTGAACATAATGAGGCATTTCTTGGCGAATTTAAAGTGTCTTGAGCTGGTCAAAATATGTGCTGCAAACATCAAAGTGCCCATCGATATTCATCATCTTTTGACGCTTCCAAAAGCTTCACCAAACTGCAAGATCCAAGTCATTCACCAAAAAACTAGTGAATAATTATTCGTCTATGGTTTTTTGCCAAGTCCTTTTGAATCACTCATCAATTGTTATGTCTTGTACTTTGGTGTTTGACAAAACATTGCCAGCAAAACATGAGATTTTGAGTGATGAATTTCAGTCTATTTTTTTTTTCTTGCCAAGAGAGTCTTTTAAACCCTCATCTACAACCATACCAGCATTACGAACTTGAACCAACCATAAACATTTATATTTGAGTTTTAATAGTGACAAAAGTTTGTGTTATATTTGACAAGAGAAACTTACTATAAAAATGATTAAATATGGTTATGAACAAACCTGTGTTCTAGCCTAGTCGTAGCAATACCAATTCATGATTTTTAGAATTAGTCATTAATTAGTTTTAGTCACGTTAAAAACTTTAGTAATTAAGTTATATTTTCCTCCTCTCATCTATACAAAAAAAGAAAGAGGAAAAAGCCTTTCCGACAACGGTTGCAAAAGCCAAGTCGGACAAGTGATATATTGAATGCAGACACCGTGAGAGATGACGTGATCCTCAAGTGAAGTGGAGACACTAAGCACAAACCCTAATTAAGACTGAAGCTCCTGAGAGGAAGAAGAAGAAAAAAGGCTGTTGTTACTTCTCTCCAAGCTACTGATTGACACAGAGTCATTATCGTCCACATCTATCATCGCGAGGCTCAAGTGTAATTCTGTGTTCGAATTTGGGTAAACCTCATCGTCGAAACAATCTTCGTTTTCTTCTACTATCTTCATCCATTTCGAGACATCATCTTCGCCTCTTAGCAGCTTCAATATCTGCAGAAATGTTATTGGATATGTGACTAAAAGGTTAAAGATCTTGGCACAATTCATGGGTAAAACAGAGGATCCAACATTTAAAATTCGGTTATAAGTCTGCAAAATTAGAGTAATTAACCTCTCTGATATTGGGACGATAAGTGGCTGCTCTTGTGAGACAATGTGTAGCAGCAAGAACCATCTTATGAAACTGATCCTCATCAAAAGTCCCAGAAATATTCGGATCCAAGAGCTCTTTTGCATTGCCTTTTTCGATCATTGGTCTTGCCTGCAACCCAAGTAATCTCTTTTTAAGTTTTCCAATGACAATTGCTTATACTACAAGTAACAAAACCAACACTTACCCACATGACCAAACTCTCTTGTCCTCTTGGGCTATCAGATGAAATAGGAGTTCTTCCTGAAATGAGTTCAAGCAAAACTACTCCAAAGGCATATACATCGACTTTATCGCTAACTTTTCCATACATAAAGTACTCAGGAGCTAGATATCCAAATGTCCCCACCACATCTCTTTGTATCGTGTATCGACAAGACTTTGATCCCCACATCGAAAGACCGAAATCCGAAAGCTATTCTCGCAGAAAAAGACCCATTAAAGGTCAAATATTTATGAGTTCTTAAATAGATTTACAAGTCCTCAGTAGTGTTTCAATACCTGAGGTTCGAACACATCTGAGAGTAGAACATTCGAAGATTTGACATCTCTGTGGATCACAGGATTAGAACATTGGTTATGGAGATAATCAAGAGCTTCCCCTAACCCAATTGCTATCTTGAATCTCTCTTCCCATCTCAATACATGTTTACCTGCAGATTATTGAATCATTAGTGAACTCTTTATTAAATTGTGTGTCAAGATGATTAAGAGAATAAATTAGTGTTGTGCTAACCCTGAAGAGTTTCCTCCAAACTCCCTTTGGATGAGAGATTGTAAACAGAGATTAGATCATTGTAATGAACGCAGACACCAATCAAAGGAGATATGTTTGAGTGACTCAAAGAAGAGATTATGCTCACTTCATGAACAAACTCCTTAACTGCTTCTTTTACAGATGGTTTCAAGATCTTCACCGCCACGGCTTTACCATCTTCAAGAAACCCTTTGTACACTTCGTTACATCCTCCTTTTCCGATCAGATTCTCTGTAATCGAAAAAAGAATCCGATAAAGTGGCTGTTAACACGATAAAACAGAGTAGTTAGTTAGTACCTGAAGAGAAATCTGATGTTGCTATCTTGAGAACATCATAGCTAAACCATCTGTTTATTTCCTTTAGTATGTCTTTAAGTTGTTTATCGCAAAAGCTCGTTGGAGAAGTCATATTCGGATGATGCGGAAATCGTTCAGGCAAGCTCATGACCCAATTGACAACTGATATCTTCCTAGTCTGATGTTGAACCATTGAAGTAGCTAAAGTGGTTGTTCTTAGCAATGGCCAGCCCGGTGTCTGGTCTACTACCTCTACCGATGGAAGCGATAGCGATCTTCCTGAGATCTTCCTCTTCTCTTGACCCGTTGTTTTCGCAAGCTCTTTGCTTTTAACCGTCGATTCTTCGGATTTCAGTTCGCTTTCTTTGTCTATAAATCCATCAGAAAGTTCAGAACCTGGTCTTGAACTCATCTTTTGTGCTGCAAGAAGAATCAAACCCATTTCTGGTAAACCGATTCGAGTTTGAAGAATGGTATATACATTCAAAGATTCTAGTTGTAAAGAGAACCAACGAACCAAGAGGTAGTTGGTATTGGTTGGAACGTCTAAAGACTATACTCCCTCTATGGATGGCCAAAACATCGGTTGTTGAAGGAAGCTCTTTGGCGCAGCCTTTAGCTATTTTTAGACTAATAAAAAATTATCTACAATCAATCAATAAGAGATTATCAAGAAAATTATATAAGTTTCTGCTTAAAGATTTTCTCACCTTAATTTTCTTTGTTGTTTAACTCCAACAACAACTGACATGGCGTTGTACCTCTTTGCCTCTTTAACTAAAACCCCTAGAACTGAATTTCCCTTCAAAACTTCTCCTTTGAGCTCAATCTGTTCTCAAAAACCAAATATTCTCTGTTACACATTGCTAACAAAATCTTGTCTTTACGCGAACTAATCCAGGAAAAAAGAACTAAAGATACCTTCTTTGTTGAGCAGAGTTCACTGTAAAGTTCTAAGTACCGATCCAGCGATGACTTGCTTTTCAAGGCACGGTCTATCAATCATAACTCAAAAACAACATCCATAAATCAAAATCTAGCAAATAGAAACTTCATAAGAATAAAACAAGAAGGAGAAGAGCTTACAAGAAGTAAAACAAACATGGACAACAACAACACAATCTCCATGTTCTGCAACTTCTTCAAGTGCCCATTTCAAGATCTCTTTGCCACTTTCATCAATTCGAATTCCAACCAATATAATATTCCTCTGCTTCACAATTACATGATCCACTTTTCTGTCTTTCTCCACTGCCATTTGCTCTCACAACTTTTTTGTTTTCTTTGTGAGAAGAACTAATACAAAATGCAATTACAAAGTAATCAATGGTTATCAATATTATTACAAAAAATCCAAACTTTATGTTATTCTCTTAATAATTATTTTATAGGGAAGTTGAAAGATTAGAAAAATCAGAAACTTTTTGTTGCAACAACTATCAGATACAAACAAACAAAAACTCCAGAGTATTGAGAGAGAGACACTTGAAAATTCAAAGTAACATTTAATTATAAAATATAAAATAAGTAGAATTGGATTTTTAAGAGATACACGATGATCGGCTGCTTGTAGGGAAGAGATTTCAGTGTTGTGGCTTTGGAGGCTTTAGCTGTCACTCCTTTAGTTGTAATCTTTGTATCTTACTTTCTAAGGCTTGATATGTTTGTCTGCCTCTTTTGGCCTTATGTCTCTGGGGGTTTCTATGTACCCGCCGGCTTTGTCTCCGAAAGGCTTTCGTTCCTTTTCGGCTTTGTATAACTCAAAATCGCATTCTATCAATGAAATCCTTTAGACGAAAAAAAAAAAAAAGAGATACACGATGAGCATTAAGAGACAACATAGTATCACCTAAATCCTTTGTATTTTATCATTAAAATTTTGTCTTTAGGACATAAATAAATTGATAGTTTTGCTGCCATGTGCCATCAGCATTTTGTACCTGCCCTGCCACGACTAATAAAACCAGATTGACACAAATAGAATTATCAAATAAGAAAGTGAAAAAACTTACATTGGAGGAGGACCTGAATACGTAAATGCTGATCTATCTTCTGAAGAAATTGGCTTTATTTTGATTGATTTTTTTATATATAGTGAAGATAAAAATGATATGATCAAAGAAGAAGAAAGTGTCGGTGAGAAGAAAGAGATAGTATGATTGAGCGAAGCCAAAAAAAGGGTCCAGTGAGCAAAAGAAGACAGGGGACCAATTTTGTTTTTTCGATTTACTTCCTTTTTTAATTTTTAGTTTTTTAATTTTTTTTTATAAAGGTTATATTTAAGAGAAAAGAAAGGTGAATTAATGAGGGCTTTTTTTTGTGTGTTGTTGTTGGTTTTATATGAATATAAATGAGTTTGTTAGGAGAAAGTGGCAAGTTTAGCGGGAAAAGGCATGAAATTAGGTGTTTTAAAAGGGCCAAGTCCCAAGTGAATATGTGTGGTCACCGGCTATTTCGGGCTTAGAGCGTAACCAAGACGACCAAAAAGCCTCGAAAGCTGCCTCATTACTTATGGCACGGAAACGGCTAGACAAAAAAAGAAGAGAAAAATGGAAAAGAAAAAAAAAGTGATTTGCGTAGATAAATGTTTCTCTTTAAAGAAATAAAGTAGAGAGTTATTGAATTTTGTATATCAGCTACCAATGTCTAATAATATAGAAAGATTTTCGAAAAGAATGTGACATAAGAATCACGTTTTGACCACATATTGTATTATCAGCAACCAATAATTTTTTTTTTAAAAAAAACATCTAACTACCAATAATTCATTTGACACTTATTCTGAAAAAAAAAATCGTGTTATTTTTAATAAAATAACACGATTATATATTATGAATTTTCAACTCATGCATGGATCAACCACTAGGACACTCTATTGGATCAGCTCATGCATGGATCATCCATTATGGACCAAAATGTTTAGGCAAAGTAACATTGGGACCTTCAAGTTCATGAGTGATTCCAGCAGTAGCTTTCTTAGTAGCTGAATCATGGACTGTTTTCCTTCATCAATGTTTGTTACTAAGACTAATTACTCTCAACTAGAAAAAAAAACCAAATATACTTTCTCACTATGAAAAATTGGGACATGTGGTGGACAAATGGTGGGTCCTTGATGGATATCCTCTTGCACAAAGTGTAAATACTAAAAATAAAGTAAAACTTATAGCCATGTATAAATAGTGGAACTTGATACATATAGTGATTAGTCAGATCTATTGGGCATATAAAGCAACAGTTAAAACTTTTTTTCCTAGTTTTCAGTATTAATATGTATACCCTTCAATATATATGTAGCATGTGACACATAAATATCTTAATTAATGATTTTTATTAAACACATTACTGTGTCACTTATCAATCATTTTTTTTTGATAACCTAACTTCACTTATCAATCATATAAGTCTGTAATGAACACACTGTCTTCTAGGCATATAATATTAATTGCATACTCAAATATAGCATATAGTAGGTTTAAAAAATACTCCCTCTGTTTCATTGTAAATGATGTTTGAAATTTTTATATAAAAGATCATTAGCTACAACTAATTCAACCAATAAGAAAACATACTGTAAAATATAATTGGTCAAAAATATGAAATATATTTAATTTTACATTAAAAGTTGAAAACATCATTTGAAAGAAATAAAAAAAATTCCGAAAACATCATATAAACTGATACGAAAGAAGTATATAGTTTGTGGGGTTTCTTTTAGCAATCATGTGAATATGTGGCTATTATAACGTTAAAGTGAATGGCTATTACAATGTTGAACGGAATTAGTTATGGTAGTTGGTTCGGTGGTTATTGTCAATTTATGTTGGATGCACCTACTACTTGATCGATAAATTCATAATTTAGATTTTAATAGTATATTTCAAAGATAAAATGTGTTTTGGCTTACAATCTTTTGGTTTACTCGTTAATAGCAGATTTCAAAAATGAGTGTGTTTTTTTTTGTTTACAATCTCTTGGTTTACTCGTTACTAGCAGATCTCAAGTCTTTTTTTTATAAATTTTCTACTCAAGGCAAAATTAGGTCTTTCAACAAGGAAAATGTTCAAGAGGTGTGGATAACTGTAGGTAACGGCAAAATTAGGTCTTAATGAATTTTCTTTAAAATACTAAAATCCAATGGCATAGCAAAAATGTTTTGAAGCATAGAAAAATTAGAAGGGTTAGCTTTCTTCTCCAAATGGTTCGAGGTCCATCTCATGGTTCAATCATAATATATGAAGAGATTTCGTGAGTAAATGGAGCAAGTTCAAGAATAATTGGAGCATATTTCAGTGTATACCGATTCATCTCAATCTTTTACCTAGCTGAACTAAGTCTTTATATAAGCTTATCTTCGTCCAAAGATGCAACATCACACAACAACAACTCATACAATGTACCACCACATCTTAGACGAATCTCTAGACACTTATTTTAAAGTTTTTAGTTTCTAAGAGATTTGACAGAGAAGATCTCGATTTGTACTATTGTAAATGTCTATAAATTAATTTATATTTTATGATATTTTATTAATTTATAATGATATTAATTTATAGCACAAATTAATATTTATTATAGCGTAAATTAATATTTATTAATGTAATAAATTACTATTGTAAATAGTAATTTTGTAAGTTAGATTCACCAAAGATTTTATTTTCAATCTTTCAAATTTTTATAATTATTAATTTATGACATTAGAAAGATTGAAATAAAATCTTTGGTGAATCTAACTTACAAAATTTAAAGCAAATAAAGAATGTCATCAATTAATTTGAGAGACAATTGTGTTTTTCTTAATTCAATAATTTTAACTATTTCTTAATGGGAAATTAAAATAATTGAAATGATATACTTTTAAAATAATCATATATGTACCAATCGAATAATGGGTGGGTCTGCATAGAGAAGTAGTTGAAACAAAGAATGAGATTGATTAACTACTGAGAGCCAAGCATTAACCAACAGCTTGAATTCTTATAAATTAATACTCTCTGTTCTTTTTTATTTGATGTTTTAGGAGAATGCACACAGATTAAGAAATAATTTTATTTTTGTTTATTTCTAAACGAAAGCATCATTTATTATCTAATCAACCAATAGAAAAATAATCTGCATAATATAAATCGTCAAAACTAATAAAAAAAACTAATTAATATTGCATTGAAAATTGAAAACCTCATCTATTTAAGAACAAAAACATAAGTTTAAAACATCATTTGTAAAAAAAAACGAGGGAGTAGAAAAAGAAATCTAGGCAAGAATTAAAAAATCAAATATTCAAAAAATATTTGATGAAAATATTAATGACACTAATATATATTATAATACAAAGCAAGTTTCTCTCTTACAAATTTTTATCGAAAAAAAAAGTTTCTTAATTAAACAAGGAAAAACAGAGATCATCAATAATATTCCACGTCTTTTTTTATTATTACAAAATAAGACCAAACCAAAAGAAAAGGGAAAAAAATTGTGAGTCTTAAAACAAGGCATACTTCTGGGTCCAGCTTCGAGCCATGGCTTCATATTTGGCCTTGTCAGTTTTGTATATGTGAGCTATATCTGGCACCAGAGGATCGTCAGGGTTTGGATCTGTTAGAAGAGAGCATATAGAGAGAAGCACCTACAAGACCAAAATGTTAGCAATCTGTGTACCTATATATTGGAGCTTCTTGGTAATATACCAAAACTGATATATGGAGTCATAGAAAATATTGACAAATAATTAAATAGATATATAGAACTTTTCAAACCTTAGAAATGGTAAGGGCAGGGCTCCATTGGTCTTTGAGAATGTCCAAACATATGTTTCCATTGCTGTTGATGTTTGGGTGAAACACTTTGGTTCTGAATACAACCTGATTTTATCAAACAAATATAACAACAAGCGAGTAAAGAAGAAGAAAAAGATTGAAAATATATCATGTTGGTTTTGTGCCTTTTGGTTATTGAATTTAAGATTATTGAGAAAGTTGTTACCTTAGGAGGTTTAAAAGGATAATCAGGTGGGAAATGGATATTGACAAGGAAAACACCGCCGGCGTACGGACTTTCGTTCGGACCCATTATAGTAGCTTGCCAGTGGAACATATCTTCTCCTGTTGGACCTAAAAAACCCCAAACCAAAGAGAAATAAAAGATCAATTACTTCTTGATACATGGCTTATTGTAACAAGAAATTGTGATCCTTTACCTGCACTGCAAGATACAGGAGGGTCTCTTTGCAACTCCTTCAGTTCTTTCAATATCCGTCTCGTTGCCATCGGGTTGTTGAGTGTTTGATACAATGGAAACTAGCACTACAAAGAAGTTATGTGAAAAAAATAATCTATGAGTGGTTTGTGAAGAGAAGGAGAATGAGAGGTGTGTTTTTAAAGCGTGAACCGTAAGCAAAGATTGGTGATTCTCTTGCAAACAGGAAAGCTTGCACTCAAGAATTACATTTATCATTGTTTAAGCAAAGATGTGCCAATTTAAAGTCTCTTTTTAGCCGCCCGCTTTGCCCATAAAGGTAATGGAGAAAGATTCATTCTTTTGTTCTTATTCTGAAAGAGAGACTTGCCTTGAAGTGGATGGTCTTACATGCTTGCTGCAATATACCATATCTATTGAACGGTCTTTAATGGGACTTGATAAAGTTCTTCTTCTTCAGAAAGAAACTGAGAATCAGAATATTTTAACAAAAAGAATGGTTATTACAATATCCTTTGTTCTTAATCTTATTGTCCACGTTCACTGGACCAGCATAATGATGTGTGATGAGCATCAATGTTAAAAAATAATAGTAAAATACATTTGATGAAGTTAAATAGTTACTGAAGAATTATAGACTTTCGGCTTTAAAAAAAAGAGAGAGTAAAACAAATATATAGTCAAAAACCCTATACTAAGCAGACACAGAAGAAATTACATTGAAGAAAGTTCGATGACCATCGTTCAATCGATCAAATGTAACGCCAAGAACTATACCACCGAGAGAATTCTCCGAGACCTTTGAATCTTCTGTAGCTGCCATTTTTTATATCAAAGTACTAATTACTGCATGCGAGATAGTACTTGATTTTACATTAATATCTAAGGGACAAAAGTACCTCTTGATGCAAATTCTTAATTTGGTTTCCTATTTATTGATTTTTTTCTCATCTATTGCTATCTTTTCCTTGGAAGTTATATCAAAAAATAAACAAATAACTTTTTGGGTAAGCAACAGATAGCGTTTTGGTATGAAACAATGAGTAAGTATATGAGTAATCAAACTCCAAAACCAATAGAATTCAAACCCCGGAAAGTAAAATATACAAGCACATTGTATATGTTGTGATTGAGATTTTGTATGTTCGATGACCATGCACGTCCAAGCGCCTAGCTTTGTTAGGGGCTCAATCCGCGCTTTCTCTCGCTAGACCTCGAGGTCTCGGCTCCTCTTACGGCTTGATTGATCATCTTCCATTCTCATACCACCAAAAAATGGCATCATAAATTAGCATCCCAAAATGTTGCACACATGTTGCAAAGAACCTATTAGGGATAACAATATCCCACATTGGAAGTTGAGTAGAAACTTAAGTGGTATATATAAGATACGGACCTCTCCACTCATTGCCAACTGGTTATAGATTTGGGATGATTAGGTCTTCGATTTAAATCGGCCTATGATTCAGGTTTCAGGCCCATTAAAATACTGGCAGGAGGTTTTTTTTTTTTTTTTTTGGCACACAACAGGAGTATATATAGAGAATCAAACCCAAAAACCAATGAGAAAAATCAAATCCCAGAGAAAGTAGAATATATACGTCATCTAGGTCTAACCCCAAATCCTCTCTCTGATTTCTAATCTCGATCTCCTTTCGGAAATCAATCGCCAGTAGTTCCCCAAATTTGTGTTGTTATCGATGAACATGTCCAAGCGCCTGGCTCTGTTAGGGGCTCGATCCGCGCTTTCACTCGCAAGACGTCAAGGTCTCGGCTCATCTTATCGTCGTCCATTCTCGTACCGCCAAATTTCCGAGCTCACTAAAGATTCGAATCAGTCGAAACAGTCTCAGGTAACAACATGTATATACCTTTTCCTTATTAGTGCTCCTCTGTTGTTGTTGTCGTTTGATGTTGATAGGTGGTCCCTCCTCAAAGCTAAAGAGATGTGTTTTGTTAACACAAGAACACACAAAGTAACCAAAGTGATAAACTCTGTTTTGTCAATTTTCAAGTCTAATTCATTATCATGACTTCGAAGTCTTTAAATACACAAAAGAAAGCAAAGGGGGTTGATAACCAATCCTAGAAACAAGGAACATAATTAACAAGTGAGAAAATGGAAACGTGGGCATTGATCTCCCTAAGGGACACACTAGGGCTTTGTTTCTTCTTGGCTCCTTGACGAAGTCTTCCTTGATTTAATCGTGGTTATGATCTTATCAGATGTGCAAAAGCCAAATTTAATATTCTTAAAAATCCTTCCGTCTCAATTACAATGTTATTAGTGCTCCTCTGTGGTTTGTTGTGTATTCATCTTCTCCTTTTTTGTTACTGTCTTTTTTTCATAATTATAGGGATTAGTGTGAGAGGTTGACTTATTTTGAAAGTAGAAGATCTTGGGAATTTTGCAACTTGAGTCTCACTGTCGCAACAGTTAATGAGTTGGAATCTTACTACACCTTTTTCATATATTGTTCTGTTAAACCATGTTTTAGGGGCGGCCCTGCGGATAGCGGAATGAAACATTCGTTTTGGCCACTAAATTTTAAAGAGCTAATATGCATAAATTATATCAGGCTCTCAAATCTTTTAAAAAAAGTTTCGTATAGATCATCCGCCCTCGAAATTGTAAATGTTTATGTCCCAACAAAACGCAGGGCCGGCCTGTCTGTGTACTGTAAACATTTTATGCGCAATAGCATTGTTTGTGCTTCCCTATATAAACCAACTCTTCTTTCATTCTTTGTGAAGGAGCATCATTCTACTGTTATGCAACATGATATAGAAAAATTACGAGGCGATATGGAGAAGATGCAAATCGAGCTGAGGTATGTGACTGGCTTTTTAAATTATCAGCGTCTTGTAATAATGCTTTAACCAATCGGAAACTTAAGACCTCTCACTTGAAACAGGTCTGTAATTGAGAACACCACCAACAAGCTTTCTAGGGTATAGCTCTTTCTTTTACTCGGTAACTTCATTCTATATACACTCTGCACCCCCAAAACTTAGGAATCCAATAAGTCATACTATGTTTTGGTGTTTCAGGAAATTGGAGCCGTAAATTCCGAAGTCAACGAATCCAGTATACGCATACTTGTCTCGCTGTTAGCAGTCGTAGTCAGCGTCGTTTTCATGCCGCGGTAGGATCATCAGTAGTTAGGATGGGTATTCTTTACTCATCAGATACCTAATCGCTTAATAAGACTGTTGACTGTTCCTTTTATTGGATTTTTGAATGGAAGATATTAAAGGAACTAGTTTAGTTTACTCGTGATGTTTTTTTTTCCCTTCTGTTCTACAGATAAACCTCTATCAATTAATATTATAATGCTGAAAGTAACCACATAAATGAATGGGAACTTAGCATGATGATGACTCACTTTCTCAAAACTCAATATCATTCTAACATTTGGATACTATGGCTAATTATCTATTCACTATTCTGCACTCTAACTATTTCTTTACCCATAACCATCATCTATTTTACTAAGCCCGTATGTATGTGGAATTCATGATTTCATCGACTGAATCATCAACCTAAACCTAGGCAGTGGAAATCAAACGGATTTGCAGGCTTGGGTTGGATTATCAAATATCAACACGACCACACCATTCTTGAAGGCTCCGCCTCACTAACCTTTATTGGTTCACCCTTGATGGCCGAAGCCATGGCAACTCTCCCCGCCGTAGGAGTTGCAGTGGAATCGAACCTCACCAACATATCTTTCGCTTCAGACTCGATGAATCTAATCAAAGCTATCAATTCGAAACTCCAACAGAAGGAGCTTCACGTGATTCTCCACGACATCCTTTATCTATCTTTTAATTTCACTGTCTGCTCTTTCAATTACACTAGGTTATTAACCCCCGCGTAGCAGGGGGTTTGTTGTTATCGATTGTTTAAATATAGTTTTGGGTTTAGTAATCTTTTAAGTAGCCGTAGATTGAAATTAGTAATGCAAACACACTATAATAGTTTATTTTATTATTTTATGTTATTTAAAATTTTGTTTTAATAAGTAAGAAAAAGGTTTATAAGATAAAACAAAAGTTTATAAGATAAAATTTGGGGTTAAATATATTACAAATATGATTTGTCATTTTCTCATATTTGTTTTATATTATTAAATATTTTGCTATTAGGAAAGTAATTATATAAAATATTAAAAATTAAACTACCAAAATGTGTACACATTTGGGCATACATTTATGAGAGATTAACAAAAATAGCACTAAAATAAGTTTTTCTTCCAAAAATAGCAGTATAAACTTTAATTAAATATTAAATATAAATAATTAGTTTAATTAAAATAAATAAATAAATAAAATTAGAAATTTCCCGCCAAAATTTATTTTTTCAGCCAAAACATTTCCGCAACGTAAAAATATTTTCCCGCCAAAATTGTTTTTATCAAGTGGTGGATTTGGAATTTCCAATTTTATTTGTTTTAGCGGGAAAATATTAACGATGAATTTGTGATGCTTTGTATTTATTTATAATTATTCATTATTTAAAAAATCAAAAATAAGGTGCTATTTTTGTCCAATAAACTTTTGAATGCTATTTTTGTCCGAAAAACTTGATTTGGGGCTATAAGAGGCAATTTCTCTATATAGTTGATTAATTGTATATTGTTTTTTTAGTATATATACAATCCGTTTGTTATAATTCGAAAATATTATCGTAGCTCTGTGGTTAATAGTCTCTTATGTGTCAGCAGTTCGATTCTTCATGGACGCAGTTGATTCGTTTTATTTTTCAGTGAAACGACGTCGTCTTGTTGTTTTCAAAACGACGTCATTTCGATTCAACGGAGATTTCTAACAGAAAGTTAACCCTGTCATCGTCACATTAACGAAAATTTACATGTCCAAAATAGACAGGTCAACAAAAACTTAACCAATTAATCAAAAATCAACTTAAACTTTATGTTTTAAATGACATTTCGAAAGTTCATGTTTTTTTGTCCCAAATTTGAAAATTCGAGCATTTTCCGACATTTTTCTCATTTTGTTTTGTATATACTATACTGAGTTGATGATAATGATCACGGAAAATGATTATATAGCAAACAAACTTTAGTGACAGCGAATAATTATGGGATGTAATTATGCAAATGAACACATTGATTGCAATAA